CCCCAAAACCCCAAAACCCCAAAACCCCATATAAAAGGAAATAAATTGGAGTATTCTTAATTATTTTTAACAAATATGAGATCCTTACACTCTGATAGTTCTATTGCTTCCCTTATTGAGCTTCTAGCTCTTGATACTAAGGGGGAGAACCCATGTACTTCAGCAGCATCCTTATCCTCAGTGGATAACCTTCCTGGTCTTAACACTTATGCATCCATTTTTAACATCCTCCTCCAGAAACAGTTGGTTGATCAATTGAGTGTTACCAAAAGAACTGAATTGTTTGAAACTACTTTAAATTGGTTCAATAACTGTAATCTGATTGATAGATGCAGTCTAACCAGTAGTAAAGACCTTTTAAATAACCCACTTGCTCATGAGAAGCAAGTAGTGGTTGAAATTGACCAACCAAAGCTTGATATTCATAATAAGTTATCGAAAAATGCATCCGGATCAGGCCTTGTCCTGCCATCCCTTCAAAGTCTCCTCGAGTCTTCGAAAGATTCTGTTGTTTACGCTCCAAAGCCAAGAAAGCCTCAAGTTGGTTTATCAACAAGAAATGTACTCGAAATACTAGGATATTGTACTTGTGATCATTCTGGCTCTTCTTTGAGTCCTGTAGAGATCCAAGGAGAGGTAATTATTCTAGATAATGAGAACCAAAATGATGCCTCACATAACTCTAACACTCAAAGTATCTGTGACAAGGAAGAGTGTAAAGACTGCGATGATCTTATGGAAGACACTATTAAGCCTTTGACACTAGCTCCTAAGCAAGCTAAAGAATCCCCTCTCAACATCAGAGAAGAGGATGAATACCTGATGGATCTTCATCCTCACACAAATGAGTATGTCACCAATCCCAAGACAAGTAGACAAGTCAAGAAGATAGTGTGTTTGCATCCAGGATGCGGGAAGAAGTTCGATAAGAAGTGGAACTTCAAAGACCACATTCGCATGCATATGGGAGACAGACCATACAAATGTGCACACTGCCCAAAGACTTTCACTCAGAAGGGCAACCTTGACAAGCATATGAAGCAGCATGAGTTCAAAGACCTGAAATCTAGGAAGATCCACGAGTGCCACATCTGCCACAAAAAGTTCACCGAGAAGTACAACTTAAAGGTAAGTAGAGTGTTTCAGTTAGGTTTGGTCCAATCATCAATTGGATATGAAGATTCTACCATTTTGGTAATCTATAGAATTAATTGATAAGTTTAGTGGATCCTTGCCTCCATCTGCTTTATAGTATATAGCTTATCATCTTTCCGCCTTGCAAACTTCCTCAGTCTTCCTTAATGCGATCAACATGGGAGATCCTTGCTAGACTGATGATGACGGCATTTGTTAATTCTCGCTTTTAATGCCCTTAGATTTTACATTTTGGATACATTTATTTCGAGTTTCGCCAATTTTGTTCTCATGGATAGTCCCAAACATTCCTTAATATCCTGATATAGAACCATCTCAAGAAGCATGAAACAGGTGGTAAAGGTAAGCCCTGGCTTAGTCTCCACAGAATTCTGCTAAATTTCTATGACTACACTGCCTGCACTAGTTGTGTTTGAAGGAATCTGCATCATACTTAAATTCGTCAGCTCCTCTTTTGAAATTCTAAACCTATTACACCTTTCTCAAGACACTTGTTGGTGTAGACCGAATAGAATGGTTTTGATAATATATCTTAACTTTTAACCAATCTTTTGCAAAGTTTAGGCTGGTTTAGCACATATCCTTGCCTAGCGAATTGGACTCCAATTCATTGTGCAAGTATACCTATTCCTTCTCCATTGCTGTTGGGTTAGAATTAGTAGACTCGCCATTTGGTATTAGAATGTTGCGGGAAATTGGAGATCAGCTTTTGCTTTTAAATTTATTGGATTTCTGAGAATTAATTACTCCTTCACTATATTATAGATAGGAGTGTTAGAGAGCGCTATCCACCCTTCCTTGTTATTCAGTTGTTTTACATGAAGCATTGATAACTCTCATATCTCCTTTGGTTATCAGGATCTTTTCTTAATCTGAGAATTAGGAACAAAAGCTTATTTTTGCAAAAATTAGGGTTATTTCTATTTCGCCTTAATAACTCATAACTATTTGATCTAAAATTAGGGTAATCAGCCAGACGGTATCCTTCAAACTCCATACTCTGAGCTTTAGGGCTTCTCAAAAATACTCAAAGAGTGTTTTGCATATCTTTGATGTAATCAATAAATAATAGCTTGTATAAGTTTCTAAAATTTGGCTATAATTTAATTCCCTCTAGATCTTAAGAAGCAAAGAAGAGCCAAGGCTAAGGCCAAGAAGACTAGGAAGACGAGATAGATTGTGAAAGACATTAGCAAAGGAAAGACAGGATTCTAAATAATCTTCTTCATAAAAATTCTTCAAATACTTGGGAAGTTGGGAAAGTTTTTAGAATCTAAGGTTGCTCTAAGCTTAGGCTCCCAGATTTTATTACTGGGATTCCCCTTTCATAATTGAGCCTTCAGCTCTTAGGTTTGGGGATAGAGGGCTTTAGAGATCGAAGAAGACTCTCCATAGATACTTCACCTAACTTTTAGGTGTAGGTGAAAAAGACTAATACTATTTGGAGAAAGATTCATACTATCTCCTTTTTATAATAACTCTGGATAATGGAAGGGTGCTTGTGTTTATAATTTTTCCTTCATAACATTAATTATTATAAAAATATATCTATAAATTTCTTAAACTAAAGTGCACATTCTTCCGGATATTTTGAATTTTGACAAAAAACCCATAACCAAGTAAATTTCCTAAAGAGGATAAAAATTATTGTTTCAAGGCTTTGGAATAGGGAAGGGGTTTTGGGGTTTTGGGGTTTTGGGGTTTTGGGG